ATTAAAATCAAAAATAAAAATAAAAATAATAAATAAAAATAAAGTATGTCATATATTATTTTTAGATATTATACATCTGGACTCTCTATATTATTATCGAAAACGATTATTATCCTGGGAGATATCTTCAAAAACCGTCAAACATCATAATTCTTTATGAATCTGATAAACAAGTAAGAAGATATAACGGCGAAAAAAAATGAGAAAAGATCCAAGCTGTGTTAGACTTGGATTAAATAGATCAAAGCGAATGAGAGAGAAAATTCTTCGATAAAGAAGTAGGATTAACGTCTATTGTATCGCGAGGTAGGCATACAACAAAAGTAGCCATATTAATATGTATATCAAAAGGAAAGGATCTTCGCCTTATCCGGATATTATTAAGTCTCGTTTTTCGACTTTCGAATCCCGAGTACGCTTGTCAAATTTCGATAGACGAAGTTTCATTCAAGGACCTCTCGCTGCTTCTTACATAATCTCGCGTTTTCTTCAATTCTTAACTATTTTTTCCGTTCAAACATATTGTATTGATTCGAGAAACAGAAAGATGCAAGTTCGTACAAACACTTTCTTCAGAAGCCTCTGAATGACTGTCGAGATAAAAACTTTATATTTTCATTAATTAAATACGTTCCGTTGGGCGCGCATTTTTGCCAATTCGAGATATCGACAGTTTCACTTTGCGCGGATAAAAAGTTGTATCCGCGCAATCAATTACAAAGCCGAGGATTTTAGTTTATTTCCCTGTGCTTTTTAACGCAATAATTAAAATCCATTTAATATGAAAAAAATGGTTGACGTGATTATAATATTCTATAACAAAGCAACGAATAATGGAATAACATTACAAAATAACATGAAGATATGAGATATTTTTCTGCTGCAAGATGAAGAAAGAATAAGGAGAAATCTGTAAGAGAGGAAGCAAATCGATAAATCAATTAGTTTCGCACCCCTTGCAAATAAAGAACGTTATACCTTTCGCGTTTGACGGAGAAGCATCATTCCCATCAGGCTCGACATGGCGACTGATCGATCTGTCATAGCGGACGTATGGATCCGTCAAGTACGAGGCGTTATAGGGCAGGACGTAATTAAATTTCAGCACATAGCCGATAATCATGCTGACGTCAACTTCCATGGGTAAACCGAGGCCGAGGATTAACTAGAACGGTTTTCAAATATAGGAAGGTGTCATTGATCGTTTGCCACAACCAGAGATCGAGTCACACCCTTCACCCTCTCGATCCTTTTCTCTCCCCCTCTTTCTAACACCGATCGAGATTTAATCACACGAAATTAGATCGGAAAATGAGAGTCTCTCAAAATCTTGTGATTCAAATAACTAGCGATCGCGAACTATCAAACGCGTTCACCATCGAGAGATTGTACAAAACGATCCGAATAACACGATAACAAAATAATTTTTAGTTAACTTTTATTTAACTTCGAAAAATCGAGTGAATCTTGTAAAAAATTTTATAAAATGCTGTTCGACTTGAATAGAGCACTCAAATATTTATTTGAAACGCCACACCGAATACTTCTAATTTAATATTTCGACAAGATTTTAATATACACGCATATCAATTCGATCAATTAAAAAAGATCGAAATATTTGATTGCGTATATTTATATAAAATATAAGACAATTATAATATATTTTTATTGAAGATAAAAAAAGGTAAATTAATTTATCTAGCAATAATCTTTAACAATATCGTCGAAACAAGACGCGGTCTATTTGCAATTTCTCACGTATTCTGCCGCGCGTTTTATTTAAAAGGAATCTTTGAGTACCTGAACTCTCGTCGCCGCATAGTCCCCAGGCGGCGGGTACACCAAATATCTCTTATCGCGGGCAAACTTGCCGCTACTTTGAGATAAAGTGGCAGCATAAATATCATGAAAGTAGACACACAAGATGGCCAGCGAAAATTCACGGGGGATTCGCATTCTTAAACTTTAGCGAAACTGACAATTTAACGCCCGTCGGTCGAGGTAGTCAAACGTGCCAATTATCGCAATTAATAGTTAGCGAGTTAGTTGGCTGCCGTGAGTTAACCGAATAATGAACCGGAAGAGTTTTGCCTTTGTAAGATTTATACCACGATGACATACGAGAATGAATTGAAAGAATAATATGGAAAATTAATTATTAAAAATAATATAAAATCCATCTTTGTGTCTGTTTGTGCATTTAAATTTTATTGCGTAATCGAATGCATCAGATGTTCTCTTTTCCCTAAAACGAGTAATTTGAGCGTCATCATTGCTGTCATTTGATGCAGCAGTTAATGCGTAATTAATCTCGGCGACATAATTACTTTGAAAGGATTTTGGTCACCCACAACTCAATAAATTTGCGTGAATAGCTTGTTCGAGAGTGGATTAATACTCGCGATTTAAAGATGCGGGATTTAAGCGGAATCAATAGCACCGCGTGCAAAATTTTCTTATGTTTTAACGAAATTGATGAGAATAAAATTGGAGTATGTACGCAAAAGTTTTATTATAATAAATTCCGCGGAGCGAATAAGAATGCATTATTCAGCTGATCAAGAAGCAATGAATTAAAGACTTGAACTCGAGAATGTTTTTGAAGAAATTTACAAATGCTTGGAAATAAGCGGATATTACATTGGATATATTTCTAATAATCTAGTTAATAACTTTTTTTTTATTTATATACTGATTCTCTTATTTAAATTATAAGATTTAATTCTTATTTATTTAGTTTAAATATTCTAACTTTTTTTTTCTATAAAAATATATTTTTATATTATATAAAAATATCTACAATTAATTAGGTAATTCTCCCATTACTCTTTGTTCCTTAATATAAGAAAATTTATATTAAGAATTTTAATTTAATTTAACGCGTAGAATATTAACAAGTTGTAGAACAGTTATTCACTATAGAAAAATGCATTCTAAATTTATTGGTGAATTTATAAACCTATTGTGTAAGATAAGATATCTGTAGAACATATTACATAATCTTTTTCAATAATTTAAATAATGTATAAAACAGTAAAAATATAATGAAAATTATATAATTTTTGAATAATACGTAAAACATAAATGCTGAAAAATTGATGGAGAAAAGCTTGGGTTATAAATTTTTGTAAACGTCTAATAATATCGAATTGTGCGTGATGCGAAACATGACATGCATTGTGTAATGTTAAAATTTATGCGCAATGCAGCTTTCTCTGTCTCTCTTTCTCTCTCTGTCTATGATTACGAGAAAATATGTTTGGATATAAATTTTTGTCGATGGTAGGTAGGTAGGTATTGAAAAATGTTCGAGGGATTAAAGTTGTTCGAGATCATGAAAGCACCCGCTATTTAAAAAGCTGCGCTCGTCGACCCACTTTCAAAGTATGTATCCTCCTGCCATGTTTCGCGGAGAAGGGATGGGGTCGATGATCGTTAATATCGAAGCAGCTAGTAATAACAAGTGACCGGCAATTCTGGCTCCTTTGCCGTTTTTCGCTCGATATTAAAAATGGCCGGTTGCGTCGATAATACCGCTCTCGCCTCGTATTCTTCTAGGAGGAAGGGTAAAATATACTCGCGACGAAAAATCCAATAAACGCGACTGAGAATAATATAGGTTTCGCATATCATACACCGAGTGATTGCCCGTTACAGTACGACGTTTTATTCTCTTGAAGAAAATCTTTTGCACGTGTGTAACAGAAAATATAAATGCATAGATAGACGCCGCGAGTAGGATATTTCCCTCGTTTTGTCGCATTTCTGTGCAGTTGATTATACCGGTGGAAGGGTTAGCGGGGAGGGGACGATATCGGCTCGTCAGGAGGACGACGGAATATTCTAGGGAAGGATAAAAAAAGTAACCGAGGGGGAAACGTGGTTATGAAAGGTGATTATCGAAAAACTCGGAGTGTAAGCTCGATGAAAAGCCCAACCGCGGCTGGGAAAACTGTCTTCAATCCTACGGGCCGGAACGGGCAGTTTAATGCAGCGCATTTCACAGACAGCGGATAGCTGACGTCTAGAAAATCTCATAATGGTTAAAGGAAAAGCGAGGCTCGATTTCCATAAGCACCGCGAACGATGTTGACGAAGATTATCCCGGCTTATTTTTCTTATCCGAGAGATTCAAACGTGGGGCTATTTGCGCTCTCGCGTTTCTTTCGGCGCTTTTTCTGTACTTTAATTTCTCAATAATAGTCTTAATGCAGCTAGAATTGATTCGATTAGTACCACTTTAATTGAATGCATTAATTTATTTTGTAACGATTCCTGAGAATTTTTTTTCTTTTCTCTATATATTATAATTTCTTGCAAGATTATGAAACCTCTGTCATTCTTTGTTGATGTATTTATAGTTTTAATTAGACATTCATTTTCTCTTATGGCAAAGAATAATTAATCCTTTGTTAAGATCTATAAACATAAATCTTTCGTTATAGTTATCTTGACAAATTGCAATTTTGTTGTAAAGTAATATATTTTTTTCGAATCGATAACAAACGCAGTAAACAAACCTCGTATCTATGAATGGCGTTGCATTCTGTGCACCAAATATCGTTGGATCTCGATCAAAGTTTTGTTTTTGTTGTACGAGAGATTTATTTGCGGCAGAGTTTCTCCTGTGCCAAGCGCGACGAGCGAACAATGCCTAATATTTTCTCATAAGCAATCATATAAAATCCCATAATCGCGAAGAGGAAGGAAAACGTCTTGGTAAATACCTTCTCGCCGCGCCGAATGAAAGAAAACGAATGGAAAGAAAAACGATCGAAACTTTTTTCCAGCTTGAAACGTTTCCAGCGACGCAAGCTCCACTGAGGATCATTTATCTTTTCTCAATACAACGGGATATTTCCGACGCTC